GAGAGAAAACTACAGATTTTAACTATACAGCTTGTGAGGATATGAAAGAAAAGGAACCCTCATGCACTGCTAGTGGGAATGCAGATTGGTGCAGCCACTGTGGGAAATAGTATGGAGTTTCCTCAAAAAGTAAAAACGGAACTCTCATTTGACCCAGTAATCCCACTTCTAGGAATATATCCCAAGAAATCAGAAACACTAATCGGATCTTGGTGAGACAGCAGTGGAGCCTTGCTCTCCAAGTCTTGCAATGCTGCCCAAGGATGATAAGAAGAAGAAAGATGTTGGAAAGTTGGCCAAGAAAGACAAACACCCCCATGAATAAGTTTGGGGGAAGGCCCAAAAGAAGAAGTCGTTCAAAGGCTAAATTTGGGACAAGCTCAATAACCTAGTCTTGTTTGACAAAGAAGCATATGACAAATTCTGTAAGCAAGTTCCCAACTATAAGTTTTTAACCTCAGCTGTTGTCTCAGAGAGACTGAAGATTTGCTGCTCCTTGGCCAGGACAGCCCTTCAAGAGCTCCTTAGTAAAGAGCTTATTAAATTAGTTTCAAAGCACAGAGCTCAAGTAATTTATACTAGAAACACCAAAGGTGGGGATGCCCCAGCTGTTGGAGAAATTTCTAGAAGATTGAAAAGCAGGAAAAACTAATCTATGGTAATAGATATCAGAATAGTGGTTACTTTTGTGGATAGTGATTGGAAGGAGCTTAATTGGGGACGGGGGGTGGGGGAGCTTCTGTAGGGTCTGCTGTAGGGCTGTAATGTTCTTTTTCTTTCTTTTTTTTCTTTAATAAAGGTTTATTTTTCAAAATGTACAGCCAGTCAGACCTGTTGTTCATGCATCTTCTCCAACAGCTGGGCATCCCCACTTTTGGTGTTGCTGGTGTAAATTATTTGACCTCTGTGCTTTGAAACTAGTTTAATAAAGTCCTTTACTGAGGAGCTCCTGAAGGGCTGCCCTGGGCAAGGAGCAGCGAATCTTCAGTCTTTCCGAGACAACAGCTGAGGCTATTGTGTTAAGGCTACTGCCTGTTGTACTTCATTATTAATAATTATGTATAACAGGATATTGTAAAAATTAAGTTACAAAATTTTCACTAAAATGTTTCTTTTATATATAGGCTGGGCCACAAACGTATTTGTATTCAACACCTTAGGCCGGATGCCTAGGTGGCAACTTTTTTTTTAAAGTAAGCTTAAAAAATGTGCATGTCATAGTATTCTCAAAGTGTGAAAATAATAATGTCACATCATGCCTAGTCCTCTGACTCTACTACCAGCATATTGCATAAAATCAACTACTCATAGTCTATATATGTGTATGCATGTATGTGTGTATAATATTTTCTTTACAACCCGGAATCACAATATATGCAGTTCTCTATTCTGTTGATGGTCTTTCCCTCATTGAATAACTCATGGGGTCTTCAGGCAACTGCGGTAGCATTTCTCATAAACTTTCCCTAACACCTCTAGTCTGGGTTTTGTGTCTTTCCTCCATAACCTATGTCCCCTCTTCCATTTCTCCCTACTGTACTTTTTTAAAAAATTGATTTTCAGAGAGAGAAGAGAGAGAGGTCGATTTGTTGTTCTGTTTATTTATGTATTAATTGGTTGATTCTTGTATGTGTTCTGACCGGGGATTGAACTACAACCTTGGTGTACTGGGACGATGTTCTAACTAACTGAGCTACTGACCAGGGTTCTTTATTCTGTTTTTATTTACTAGTTTATCTCCCTTACAAGATCTGAATTAGCAGGACCTCTAGTTCAATGCTTAATATACCAAAGGCACTCAATACACATTTGCAGAACACATGAGTGAGTGAGTAAGCTAACTGGGATCAACCCAAAAACTATACAAATGAGGAGCACAATAAGGGGTGTGGTGATCAGACTTGGCTTATAGCTCTCAGGCTTGAAGAGAAACTATTATAGCTGCTGTTGCTGCTTGAGGAAAGTTCAGCTATTCCACTGACTCCTTCTTTGTCCGGTAACATGACCAGCAAGAAGGTAATTGCTGTGTTTGGAGCAACAGGTAAAAAGCTTACTTTTAAAGTGCATGCTGACTGCTTACTTTCCTGTCTTCTTGTTTTTAAAGTCAGAGCTTGCCAGTGTGGGTGAATTTCCTGCCTTTGGAGGAAATTAAGAAAAGTGTCCTATTGCTTGGATTTCTGATGTAGTAAAGGGGCTGGTGATTTTATTTTGTCAGAAATGATCTCAGCAGGACAAGGACAACTGACATATTCTCTATTTCTCAGTCATGTGCTGACTTGGTATGTTTCATTTCAACATACTCTATCCTCTGGAGACTTTTCTCCCTTCACTTCCTGACAAGTGAAAGAAGCAAGTGTGGGTCTGTAGGGCATATCTAGGTGCCTAACCAATACCCCAGCCATTCTGAAAGGATGGAGAGGGTGGGGGTTAGGCTATGTGCTGAGTGACTTTTCTGTCTGGGTCAGCTGCCCCAGCTTTTTAACTGCCCTCCCTGATTTCAATCTTATCTCTTTTAT